TCTGAGACTCGCCTTTAGCACAGCCTCCTCCCTTATCATTGCAGGAAACTCTGTGTCTGTGTTCACACTGATGCCTTCTTACCGGGTGCCTCCCATACAGTAATACACGGCCACGCCCTCGGCTCTCAGACTGTTCATTTGCAAATACAGTGAGTCTTGGCACTGTCTTTGGAGACGGTGAATCTGCTCTTCCCAGATTGTGCATAACACATCTGACTTCCATCACACGATATATCTACTACTCACTCCAGCCCCTTCCCTGGAGCCTGGGAAACCGAGCTCATTCAGCAGCTGCTGAAGGTTAATCCAGAGTCTGCACAGGAGAGTCTCAGGGACCCCCGAGGTTGTCTTGGGTCCTCTCCAGACTCCACCAGCTGTTCCTCACACTGGACACCTGCAAACACACAGACATCCTGGTCAGAAACTGCCGGACATATCCACTGTTTGTCTCAAATATATTCACTCTCACTGTATCTCTCTAGCACACCTTTTAAAACAACAACAGTGAAACCCAGCTCAGCCCAAACTGCATGGTGAGTCCTCCATCTCTAGTCCTGATCACCAGATGGAAACCCCTGGGAATCCCAGGGCTGGGGCTTCTCTTCCAAACCTACATGGTCCAGACTGGGCTGGTTTTCATCAGCAGAGGGAGAAACCTATTTGCATGTCTCCTACTGTATAGCAAGCTCTGGGGTGGGAATCCTGAGGAGCGGCAGGGCTCAGAGCAGATAAAGTGCCCTGGGGGAGATTGGTAGTGATCTTATCACTCAGGAAAATATCATCTTACCTTATGTGATTGTGCCTTGATGATCATTTATCAGTCATCATCTTATTTCATTTTTACATATTGCAGAATACATTTAATGCAAGTGTCAATGTTACATTTTAAGGAATATAAATTACACACAGAACAGAGTGGCTTTACAATATGGTCAAGGTCACACAGCTGGACAAAGGTAGCCCCGTTATCCGTGCCTGTACCTCTGACCGCTAGAGGAGGCTGTTGAGACGACTCCAGGGCAGTGTGGGACATGCCTAGTGAGGTTTGCAGGATTCCACCCCTGCTAAGACATCTCTGTTTTCTTTTAGTGTGTTCTGTTGTTTACCTGAAATACATACAGAGAAACAGTGTTCATACATGTGGACTTTCAAGAGTCAGAGATGTTTCAAGTGTTAATAGCCATCTATTTTTTGCTCCTCCTCAACCAACATATTCATTTGTTTCTTTGTTACTGCTTTTTTAGGTACAATTAACAAATCATTGATTCAAATATATACTGCACAGTTCGGAAAATGTTAACTTGTGTGTGCAACCCTTTAATCAGGGCTTCAATTAAGTCGTGTACAATTAAGTTAACCCCTAAATCTTTCTGGCACTTCTCTGTAATTTCATCTTACCACATTACTTTCAACACTCAATTCTCACCAAATTCTCTTCTCTTTTACTTTAGAATACTTTTACCTTTTACGGTTTATACAAATAGAAGTTTATGAAGTGCTCTCTTAACTTTTTAGCTGCTTTCACTCAGCGGTTATTTGCGAATGTAACCATGCTTTTACATGAATGAGAGATGCCTTGATTCTAAAGCTTCATTGTACTTTAGTTCATAATCATATGTCAAATTGTTTAACATTCACCGGTAATGGATATGGATATTGGATTTGTTCTCTTAGTTTCTGGCTTTTATATAGAAATCTATTCAGTGTGGGAATGTGAAACATGAGGAAACTACGATCTTATTCTGTCCTCATTAACAACAAACCTGAAAAACTATGAACAAAGGAAGAAGAAAAACTTGTAACATATGTGAGTTGGTTTCACGGAGCAAACAAGAGGACTGAAATCTGAGGAGACAGACGCCTGCAGAGAGGACTGGGGCCCACAGGTTAGTGAACCCAGGGTAGGTGCCACTGGATGGAATTGAGAGAGGAATAAGCTAACCCAGAAATATTTAGTAAGTTTCTTTTTTTTTTTTTTTGGATGCATGTGCTAATGGTGGTAGAGTGTGAATCTACTAGTCCTTGCAGGTTTTTCCCAGGAATTTGAAAAATCCACCGTCAACTCCCTTATCTGCTGTCCTGTGGTGCTGACAGGAAGAGAAGAACAGCAAGGACTGTTGAACGCCTGGATTCACCTCCACCATCTCCAGGGGAAATCCACTAAAACCTGCATCCTGTGGAGTGTGGTGGAGTCAACAGAAACCAAAGAAAACAGAGGATTCCCAGGAAACTCCATTTAGAAGAAATTCTTAATCTGGGGGGTGAGTACAATGGAGAAGCTGAGGACACTGGAGAGAAACCACTGTGGCTGGGAAAAGACGCTCTACTCCTGGGGAAGAGGTAAGGACAGGAAAATTGGAAAGGTCACCCCGAGAACCACGATTCCTACTCAAGCATAAGAAGAAGGCTGGTTTGGAAGGTTGGAGAATGTCCCCATTTGTTCAAGCCCCTCTTCACATGGTCAACTAGGTCTGCAGGAAACAACGTAGCTGCATCAGCTCCATTCTGGCCTCTGTCATGTGACAGTTTCTTGTGGATTTGCTTTCTGCTCTCTCATTATTTGTTTCCTCTCTCAACTCCTAGCTCCATTCTCCTTTTAGTTCTCACTTTGTTGAAGAGATTCATATTTAGCTTAGAACATTAAAATCTGTGGAAGTAATTTTCATCTCAAAGCTACCAAATCTAATGAGCTCTCTCCAAGGATGCCCATCTGTTTTTTCTTCCTTTCCTATGGGATATGGCCCTTGTTTCTACCTGACTCCAGCTCTTATTTTCATATGCATGAGGAGTCCAACCATCACACACCCAAGAACGTCTTGGGGGAACGTCCCCGACCATCCGTCTCCTCAGCCCTCATGTGCACAGGGGCCACTCTGTCAGCTGTTGTATGTGCTTTAGGGCCTTCGGTTTAAAAGTGCCTTTCTCAAGCCCACCAGACAAAATTCCTGGACCTTAAACACCTTCAAGATCCAGTCTATCTTTCTGCCCCTTTGTTGTTAATATTGTTTTATTCCATTAAAATCCACTGGGAACCTCAGCAACAAGAGAGGTGATCAGCCTACCCATCCCGTGTCGAACTTCTGCCTGACTGACCCACCCATGAACTGTACTCCACTGCTCTGCAGCTGATGGGGCCACCTGGACCTTCATTAATAAGAGGTGTGTAATTTATTAAAGAATGACTGAGATCAGCGGGTGCCTGAGCTCCTCAGAACACAGGTGTGGTCCTGCAGTAGAGTCTGTGTTACTGAAATCACATGTGTGTATAACTCGTGACCTCAGTCCAGAAGCAGATGCCAGCTTCTGGCCATTCCTGGGTAGCCCGATGAGGGGTGTCCAGAGAAGGATGGATTCAGGATGTGGATTTTAGAGAGTGATGTGGTGTTGGAGGCATTGTCAGCCAAATTTCATTGAAAGTCTGTTCTGCCCTTGGTACTTGGGGAAAACTGGGAAGAAGGGAACAAAACTCAGACCCCATGTATCTCCTCATTTAGGAAGAGATTCAGTAAAAATTGAGAAAGTTGAAGGAATAGACTATACTTTCAGGGATCATTTCTATAGTTCATTCAAGGAGGTTGAAGAAAAACAGTGATGTTGGTGTGGTTTTTCTTTGACATACTTAGGAGACAGCAGAAGATGGTCACTGGTCAGTCTCCATCCAGCTGGCACTCACTGTCCATTTATTATGTCCAAATAAAAGACAACATTTGTGGCACAGACACCAGGGCTGGTTTAGAGACCTTGCCCCAAAAATGGCCAACAATGGCCTGGCACAGGGACTCACACCTGTAATCCCAGCACTTTGGGAGTCTGAGGCGTATGGATCATGAAGTCAGGAGATCAAGACCATCCTGGCTAACACAGTGAAACCCCGTCTCTACTAAAAATACAAAAAAAAGTAGCCAGAAGTGGTGGCACGTGCCTGTAGTCTCAGGTACTCAGGAGGCTGAGGAAGGAGAATCGCTTGAATCCAGGAGGTGGAGGTTGCAGTCAGCCGAGATTGCCCACTGCACTACAGCCTGGCGACAGAGCGAGACTCTGTCTTAAAATTTTAAAAAAATGGCCATCAGGGCCATGACACATTTTTTTTTATGAGAGTTACTATTTTCGCCTACTTTATATGGAAATCTGAGAGATGTGCCCAGCCTCAGGGGGCTGCTTCTCCTTCTGGGAGACAAAGCTCACAGAGTTATGTGGTATTAGTCTGTGTGGGTCTTCACAAGAAGACAACAGGAGTGGGTGATGTAAACAACAAATACTGATTGTCTTACAATTCTGCAGTCTGAATGTCCAAGACTAAGGTGCTGGCAGGGCTGGTTCTCGGTCCGGCTTCTTCCTGGCTTGCACAGGGCCACCTTCTAGGGCACTATGTCTCCACATGGCCTCTTCTCTGCGTGCACGTGAAAAGTGAGAGGTCTCTGGTGTCTCTTCCTCTTCTTATAAAGACAACAGGTCTACTGCATTAGGGTCTCACATGTATGACCACATTTAATCTTAATTAAATACTTAAAATTCCAATATAGATCCATTGAATTTCAGGTTTAGCATATGAATTTCAAAGAGGGCACAATTCAGTTGATGACACAAACCAAGAGATGGTGAGAAGCATTAGAATATATATATTTTTAATCAAGAAGGGAAAAGTGGGCCATTCAGGAACTTGTAGGAAAGTTCCTAGTATTGGTGAAACTTCGACTGCAAGAGGAACATTTGTCTTGTTTTTTTTTTTTTTTAAACGGAGTCTCGCTCCGTTTGTGCTCACTGCAACCTCCGACTCCCAGGTTCAAGCGATTCTCCTTCCTCAGCCTCCTGAGTAGCTGGGACTACAAGCACGCGCCACCACGCCCAGTTAACTTTTGTAGTTTTAGAAGAGACGGGGTTTCACCGTGTCGACCAGAATGGTCTCGATTCCTTGATCTCGCGATCTGCCCACCTCGACCTCCCAAAGGGCGGGAATTACAGGCATACGCCACCGCACCGGGCCTGTCTTCCTCCTTTCTTTCCTGGCACAAGGATGTGAGGAAGCAGAACCACAGATATCAAAGAAAGAGGAGCCCTGGGGACAGCTGAGGCGCTGGTGAGGAGGGAGAGCACTGAGCAGATGAGGAAGCCCCGCCCTCCCTGCACCTGCTCCTGACCCGGCCTCCTGCTCTGTGGGCCCCGCGCGCCCCCTGCTGGTCCTGAGCGGCACCTGCGCCCGCCCCCTCCGCCTCCCTGCAGGGAGGTTTGTGTCTGGGCTCACACTCACCTCCCCTCACTGTGTCTCTCGCACAGTAATACACGGCCGTGTCCGCGGCGGTCACAGAGCTCAGCTTCAGGGAGAACTGGTTCTTGGACGTGTCTTTTGAAATGGTGACTCGACTCTTGAGGGAGGGGTTGTATTCGGTGCTCCCACCACTACCATAGATATTCCCAATCCACTCCAGTCCCTTCCCTGGGGCCTGGCGGATCCAGCCCCACCAGTAACTGCTGATGGAGCCACCAGAGACAGCGCAGGTGAGGGACAGGGTCTCCGAAGGCTTCACCAGTCCTGGGCCCGACTCCTGCAGCTGCAGCTGGGACAGGACCCCTGTGAACAGAGAGACCCACAGTGAGCCCTGGGATCAGAGACAGCCTCCCATATCTTCATATCTGCATCCTAGAGACACTCACCTCTGGGAGCTGCCACCAGGAGAAGGAAGAACCACAGGTGCTTCATGTTCTTGCACAGGATGTCCATGACTCTCAGAGAGCATTTCCCATGTGAGCAGAACCCTGAATTTAAGGAAATGTGTGGTGGCTTCCTGTAGGCGTTTAAATGAGGATTTGCATGTGGGTGGTGCCTTTGTATGGAAAGAT